GAGAGACAGAGAGAAAGATCGCTCTTCCTTTCTCACAAAGCCTTGGTCCTAGCGGACCTACTTTTGTGGAAGTTTTCGATTCAGTATGTCTCTGGCAGATCGAGGCCTCACCTCCCAGCTCATTGCCCTGATGGTTCCATAGCGTCCAGTGTGGAGCCAGGCTCCAGCCCCGCCTTGAGTTGCTACAGAAAGCAGTGCTTACCTCTCAAACTGGGGAGCTCCAGCAGGGCACCAGAGTCGGCTCAGGTCAGTGGCGCGGTCCCAAGTCAGCGGTGGCAGCCGGCAGCCGGAAATGGCAACTGCTCCGAGTTCTCAGAGGCAGATCTGCATCCATTGTCCGCCCCCGGGGCTTTGGCGATCTGGGGCCGTCATAGAATTTCGCCCACTCGGTGGTGGGATGGAGGGCAGAGTCTCCGCAGGATTTGGGGAATAGCTAGTAAGGACTGTGGGATTGAATATGGGGTTACTGCTTTGGAAGGGACAGCACGGTGCTCTGCCGTGGCCTGGGGTTGAGCTGGCGGCAGGTGGTGCGCCAGGGGGCTTACGCTGGGCAGACCTGACTGCGCTCACTGAGCCGGGGTGCAGGAGAGCTCTGGCGGGGACACGCGTATTGGAGGGGCCGTTTCTGGACACTGTATATTTTACATATAGTAGCTTTTTATGTTACATATATTTAGTTTTTTAAGCTTGGGACCTTACTGTTTAATCGCTTTATGCTTCATAGTTCGTGATCTAACTTGGCTTAGCAGAATTTGGCAAACACCGTCAAACAGACCGTTTGAACAGTATTAATGAAACTATTCTGAAGATAGATCTTGTTTGGCAGGAAATAAAAGTCTCACAAATGGTTTGAAACTTTTTATAGCAATTTGTTTTTCACCAGAGCAAAAGTGCCAAAACACCCTTAGTTGTTTGTTATTTTTAATAAGCATTGAGCCCTAGATGGGGCACACCTGATAACTTTCATTTCCTTCAGCGCCTTTCCTCCACTAGGCGTCCTAATTTAGGTATATGTCGAATATGGTATTAATTGAAGCTTTGGGTGAGTCCAGATGAGCAAAGAATTAGTATAGCCATCAGTGACAGTACCAAGGGTGGTTTGGGGGGGTTTGGTCCCCACTCCTAAGCTCCCACCCACAACAAGAATAAGAAATTGGGAAGAAAACATGCACAGCAGTAATTTTTTTTTTTTTTGAGCGTGAAGAGTGAGTGGGGGAGGGACAGAGAGAGAGGATCCCAAGCTGGCCCCATGCTGTCTGTCGTCTGGGAGTCCCAGTGCACGGGGCTCGATCTCACGAATTGTAAGATCACAATCTAAACCGAAATGGAGTCTGACGATCAACTGCTCAACCCACTGAGCCATGCAGCGCCCCTGCACCGCAGTCATTCTTACGATAGCTTCACATACAGCTTGGAGAAGAGCCCCTGGTCCCGCCCTGTCGCCCTCCACTCTCCCCAAGCCAGGTAGTGCTCCTCGTCGTTTCTATAACTGTTTGTGCCAATCCGACCAACCTTCCTCAACTGTTCTTTTGGAAACAAAAGCTTTTTTTTCCCCTTTTTCTACTTTCTTTTAATAGTAATTCTGTAAAAGCCAGTAAGCAGCTAGAAAAGCTTTTTAAGAAAAATCAAAGTAAAAAGTGAGTTGTCATTAGCCCTACCCCAACGCATCCCACTCCCCAGAAATAAGGCTTTTTTGTTGTTTGCCTGCATAGAGTATGCGTGGGGTCCAATTGGGCTCCACCCCAACCCCCGCTGGCATCGTGGGCTCTGGCAAAGTCCTCCCCTCCGTCTGCGTCTGTTTCCTCAGCCAAGAGCCAGGGATATTCATGATCTGTGCCTCACAGAGTTGTGTTAGAGGATTGCACTGGTTACACTTTGTAAAGCACTTAGAACAGCACCTGCACATGTGCTCAGTATTTCTTAAATACACCTACATCGACTTTTCTCTGAATTCATAGACTTACTTACGTTTGTTTCTTTTGTTTCTACAAAAACAGTCTCTGTACCCTTTTCTGGAACTTGCTTTCTTTACTTCCCAATGCGGCTTGGGCATCTCATCCCATCAGTATATAACGATCTATCCCCTGTTTTTATGTGATAGTATAGTGTTACATTATGTAAGGGCGCCTGGGTAGCCCAGGCGGTTAAAGGTCCGACTTCAGCTCAGGTCCTGATCTCACCATTCATGAATTTGAGCCCATGTTGGGCTGTGTGCTGACAGCTCAGAGCCTGGATCCCGGTTGGGATTCTGTGTCTCCCTCCCTTTCTGCCCCTCCCCCGCTTGCACTCTGTGTGTGTCTCTCTTTTCTCTCAAAAATATTTTTTTAATTTATTTTTTTAATGTTTTATTTATTTCTGAGAGAGAGAGACAGCGTGAGCAGGGGAGGGTCAGAGAGAGAGGAAGATACAGAATCTGAACCAGACTCCAGGCTCTGAGCTGGCTGTCAGTACAGAACCCGAAGTCGGACGCTTAACCGACTGAGCCACCCAGGCACCCCCCCAAAAATTTTTTTTTAAATGTTACATTATGTAGGTGCACCAGAACATGTTTGACAAGTCCCACACTGCTGGACATGCAGTTGGCATCGGGTCTTTGCCATTACCAACAATGCTGCCGGGAGCCCCTTGTTACCTTCGGCCTGGCCTGCATGGGTATTCCTGTGGAGGCATTCGTGGAAGTGAAGTCTGTGGCAAAGGTGTGCGCACTTGACTTTCTTGGATATACCCTTCTAAATCACCCTCCAGAAAGGTTTTCTAGTTTGTACTCCTATTGGGAGTGTAAGGTGGGGGCTGTGAAATAATGTCCTGACAACCTTTCACTCAAAACCTTTAATGGTACTTTTGGGGCTTTCACACTGATGTCTTTAGTCTGGCCTTCAAAGCCCTCCATAACATGACCCCATTTGTCTTGTAGCTTTTTTTTTAAAGTAGGCTCCACGCCCAATGTGGGGCTTAAACTCATGACCCTGCGCTCAAGAGCCGCATACTGTAGTGACTGAGCCAGTCAGGCGCCCCTATCTTTGTAGCGTTACCTGCTTTTAATCTTATAAATTCTCTGTTTTAGTCAGGCCACTGGTTTTTAATCAGGGCGATTTTGTCCCAGGAGGACATTTGGCAAAGTCTAGAGATATTTTTGGTTATCACAACTGGGGAGAGGCCATGCTGGCATCGAGTAGGTAGAGGCCAGGGTGCTGCTCTGTGTCCTGGGAGCCACAGGACAGCCCCCCCAGCAAGGGGTTAACCGGTCCAGATGTCAGTAGTGCTGTGATCAGGAGACCCTAAGTTACGCTGTCGACCAATCTCTGAAATTGCCTGTTGCTTACCCGCTCTGAGCACAAGGGTGGACAACACACGTTATCTCACGTGACACCTTCGTTGTATCCATGTGGGTCACTAAGGGACTATTTTGAGAATTCTGAAGCCTTGCCTGGGCTCACTGGGGGTAATTGCTGTGTCTCCTGTTTACCAAATTGCAGGGTCATGAGGGCAGGATGGTAGCTCCTCCTTTTTTGTGTTTTCTAAGGTGGCTCATGCATAGGTTTTTAGACGTAATTGGTGATCATATATTTAAATGTTGCCTAAATTACAGTCATCTTAAAAGTTAATTAGATATTCTCCCTAGGAACCCGTTCCTCTAACTTGCCCCCTCACTTACGTGTTATTTGTCTCTAAGGCAGACATTTATATTTTCTGGTATTTATTTCATATCTTAAAGAGCTTTGCTATTCTAAGAGATGACAGCCTGATATGAATTTATGTTTGTATGTACGTGTTTATTTAGGGGCTTTATCTACAGTAACCTATATTAAAAACATTTAATCACTTACATATAACACCCAGTGCTCATCACAAATGTCCTCCTTAATGTCCATCACCCAGGTAGCCCATGCCCCACACACCTTCCCTTCAGCAACTCTGATTGTTCTTTATAGTTAAAAGTCTTTTATGGTTTGACTCCCCTTCTCTTTTTATCTTATTTAATTTTTCCTTCCCTTCCCCTATGTTCCTCTGTTTTGTTTCTTAAATTCCACACGAGTGAAATCATATGGTATTTGTCTTTCTCTGACTGATTTATCTTGCTTAGCATAATGCACCCTAGTTCTATCCACATCATTGTAAATGGTAAGATTTCATTCTTTTTGAGGGCTGAGTAGAAGATGATTGTTGTGGGGCACCTGGGTAGCTCCATCAGTTAAGCATTCAGCTCTGGATTTCGGCTCAGGCCGTGATCTCATGGTTCACGAGTTTAAGCCCCACATCAGGCTCTGCACTAACAGCACAGACTTTCTCTCTGTCTCTCTCTCAAAAAAATTTAAAACTTAAAATGATTGTTGAATATATAAAATTGTAAAGCTTTTCCATGTTAGAAGTCTAAAATGATTGGCCATTTTAGGGGTTGACCAGCTTGTTCTGAAATTGGCCAGATAGTAAATATTTCAGGCTCGACGGACCCTGTGCTCTCTGTCACTTGTTCAGCTCTGGTCCTGTGGCTTGAAAGCAAGCATAGGCAAGACTGAAATGAATGGGCATGGCTGTGTTCCAGTGAGAGTGGATGCACAAGACCAGGTGGTCTGGATGCCTGGGTGGTTCAGTGGGTTAAGTTCTGACTTTGCCTCAGGTTGTGATCTCACGTTCATGAGTTCAAGCCCTGCGTCGGGCTCTGTGCTGACAGCTCAGAGCCTGGAGCCTGCTTCGGATTCTGTGTGTGTGTGTGTGTGTGTGTGTGTGTGTGTGTGTCTGCTCCTTCCCTGCATGTGTTCTCTCTCTCTTAGAAATGAGTAACATTAAAAAATTAAAAAAATAACAAACCAGGTGGTGATCTACAGACCGTGGTTTCCTAATCCCTCTAGAACCATCACTGTTTGGATATTTGACTGCTGACCCTGCCTGGCACCTGGATGGCTTTGAAAATGAAATAAGCAGGTATGATGAGGACTCCTTGGTAATTCCTGTACTAGGAAAGTCTGTGACTTGCGACCTTTCTCTGCTTTTCCTTGTAGAGATGTGGTATGGTGTGTTCCTGTGGGCACTCGTGTCCTCTCTCTTCTTCCACGTCCCTGCTGGATTACTGGCCCTCTTCACTCTCAGACACCACAAATATGGTAGGTTCATGTCTGTAAGCATCCTGTTGATGGGCATCGTGGGACCAATTACTGCTGGAATCTTGACAAGTATGTTAGACATTAAAATACCAGTCAAACGTTTCATATGACTAGTCACTTAATTTCAGGACCCATTTTAGAAACATGTCTGTTTGAAATGAAGAAAAAAGGGTGGCTTTTAACCATGGGCACTTTTTTTAGCGTATTAGTTTTTTCTTACCTCTTACCTCCCCCATTATTTGGCTAATATCTTTGACTTCCTAAAATGTATTTTCTCTCACTGGCTCCAGATAAGCCATGTGAAGCTTTTGAGATGGGTCATTAGTAAAAGATGTTTATTTCTTTGGAAGCTCCTGCTCCTTTTTTGTCAGCTGTCAATTGACCGGTGCCATAGCAAGGTTGTTGAAGGCCGCCTCCTCGCTTAGGTGTGGTTACTTTACAGATGGAGGCATAATTCTAATGACAAATTCTTGTTCAGAAAACTACCTGATTTGGGGCACCTGGGTCGTTCAGTCGGTTGAGCAACGGACTTCAGCTTAGGGCATGATTTCATGGTTCCTGAACTCGAGCCCCACATCAGGTTCACTGCTGTCAATGCAGAGCCTACTTCAGATCCTCTGTAACCTCACCTCTCTCTGCCCCTCCCCCACATGGACTCTCTCAAAAAGATTTTTTTAATGAAAAATACCTGATTTGTTTTCTGATTCTTTTTTTTCCCTCTCAAAAGTTTCTGAGGAAGAATTGGAATCACAGGGGCCCCAGGGTGGCTCAGTCGGTTGAGCATTTGGCTTTGGCTCAGGTCATTATCACCTGGTGCGTGGGTTTGAGCGCTGTATCAGGCTCTGTGCTGACAGCTCAGACCGTGGAGCCTGCTGCGGATTCTGTGTCTCACTCTCTCCCTCTGCCCTTCCCCTGTTCATGCTCTGGGTCCCTCCTCTCTCTCTCAAAAATAAATAAACATTAAACAATTTTTTTTAAGAATTGGAATAACAATGAATGGATCAAGAAAATGTGGTTTATCTATACCATGGAATACTACATGGCAATGAGAAACAATGAAATCTGGCCATGTGTAGCAACATGGATGGACCTTGAGGGTGTTATGCTGAGTGAAATAAGTCAGGCAGAGAAGGACAAATATCATATGTTTGCACGTATAGGAGGATTAGGAGGAACTTGACGGAGGAACAAGGGGGAGAAGAAGGGCGGAAATGGTGGGGGAAAGGGAGGGAGGCAAACCATGAGAGACTCTTGAATGCTGACAAAAACTGAGGACTGATGGATGTGGGGGGGAGGGGGGGATGGGCATGGAGGAGGGCACTTTGGGGATGAGCACTGAGTGTTATGTAGAAACTAATTTGACAATAAACTATTTGTAAAAAAAAAATAAAATAAAAATAAATAAATAAATATCTAAGGACATAGAAAAAAAAAAGAATTGGAATAACAAATTATAAATTGTTTTTACTTTTTTTGGCTTTTGCTCATATCACAAGGATGAGAATCAGTTTAAGTCACTCTTAAGTTTATAATTAAATACAAATATCATCTATATTTTATGTAAATTAAAATCCCAAGAAGCCAAAACTAAAAACATTCCAATATCACCTCCCTAAGTGGAAAACCTCAGTTTGCATTACTTTTTCTAGGTGCACATGTAAACATAAATATATGCTGCAAAAACAGAAACACAACAGTCCTACTAATTTGTAACTTTTGTGTGAGTGTGCGCATTTAAGCCTTGAGCTCTAAACAGAACTGCCCCTCTGTCTTGTCTTTGACTTGAGGTTTTTTGGGGACAGGGTGGCCTCGTTTCTTTGTGTTCTGTAGGCGGTGAAACCTCTGTGATAACAGGAGGAGGAGGTGGCCACTTTTCTCCGGTCTGTGTTAAGGTGTTTCCGTAACTGGCTTTATGTAGTATTTTTAACTCTGTCACCTGCTGCTGCTCTTTGGAGACCCTCTGCTCCAGTTTCCTTATTGGATTGCTGGCTCCGAGGAGCTGGCTCAGACTTCTCATCAGTAAAATAAAGATAACTCCACCCACCTCAGATGCTGTGTGATGATAAAAGGAAATATGTTTATTTAAAGTACTTAATACCTGACACTTAGGAGTTGTGCAGTAAATGTGTCCATTCTGTCTTTAAGACTCCGGTGAGTAGAGCCTGTTTCCTTCCCATTTTGCCGTCTTCCTGGTTTGCTTTTCCCATTCTTCCCTACTTTGTCATCCAGACCCCACCTGAGGGCCTGCTTCAAGTTTCGTAACTTCTTTCTACCCAACCCGCTTTTTTTTTGGAGCTAAATTATGAAGGGGCCTTACAAAATAGGTGCCTTGCAGTTGTTAGTAACACAAGATGTATGCATGGACCCTGGAGATGGGCATTTGCAAGTCACAGATAGTCCAGGCAATCAATACACATACTGGGTAATTTGCTCTTTCTTCTTCTTCAGATATGTTACTGTGTTTTCATATCACATGTGTAAAATGTGTAGACATTTGATTGAGGTGCTGTGTATTGTCTTGTATAATGTAAAATCTTTTTCGTGCTGTGCTTTCTTTCTCTGTCCCAGCTTGATGCTGAGTATTCTGAGAAGAGGGATCATACCTTATAAAACGTACAGGCAAATACTTATTTGCAGGAATGAACTCACTGACCAAGGAGGATTCTGTCTGGAATAGTTTTTGAGAGGAGGGTCATCTGGGAGCTCTGGATCTATTCTCGTCAAACTAATGAAATCTTGGCTTTCTCGGTACAATGCCGAGTCCCTGTAACAAGTCATCTGGTCTCTAGGGAGATACAGATGTTTGTGTTTGTTTGATTTACTCCGTTTCTAGAAAGTTGTGGTGACTTAACATAATAAAAATTATTAGTGATACAGGGGACAGAAAGGACCCCATCTGAAAGCACTAATCAGTAACTTGTAAGTCATTTGGGGAACACTTAAAACCTAGAAAAAGTATAGGAAAAACAAAACATTTCTGTGATATTTAAATTTTAATGTAAAACTAGAACATTCTACTTACAGTAGGATTTTAAGTGCTGTATTTTACTGATTATATTAACCTTGATTTTTTTTTTTTTAAACTCTTGAATTTTTGAACAGGTGCTGCAATTGCTGGAGTGTACCGAGCAGCGGGGAAGGAGATGATACCATTTGAAGCCCTCACCTTGGGTACCGGACAGACGTTCTGTGTAGTGGTGGTTTCCTTTCTGCGGGTGTTAGCTACTCTATAGCCAACACCCTTATGCCACGATGGCGAACCTCAGTTTTACAGAATCCTCAAAAAGAATACACTACGGAATGTAGTGTTTTCTTAATTCTTCAAATGGAAGAAACTTGGATGAAGAAATGTGTGTGAAGGACATTTCAGCCCTTTCTGTGATTTGAAGCTCCAGGGATTGAAGATCTTACTGGACTCCCACTGTTCTCAACCAAAACAAATCAAGTTTCTTAGCGCGCCCCCCTCCCCTTTTTTTCCTGGTATTTCACCAGTTTTATAGGTATACCTTTACCCAAGCTAAGTCAGCAATGCTTCTGGATTGACATCCTTTGCACTGAAATTTATAATCTTCTGTGAGAAAATGCGATGTTGCATATATGAGAGAAACTATGAAAAATACTGGTTGGTTTCTGAGCCTACTGTACTAAAATCTGATTTAATCTAATCTTGATTAGAATTTGGCAGACTCTTCTTTCGCCACATCTTCATAACAGTATGTGCCAAGTAGGTTTTGGTTGAGTAGAGCTTTGAGAACAAATTTGGTGAAACAGAGCAGGAAAAAACCCTACAACACAAGTAGTGGCTTCAAGTCCACTGTGGAAAGAAAAAGAAGACGATGTGACACTTTTTGGGAAACTGTCTTGACCTCTGATTACTGAATATATTTTAAGAGATGTGAATCTGTTGTTTTGTACATTTTATCAAAATAAGCTAGCTTACTTAGACTTTTTTTCCTCCAGAGTTTCTGTACCCCTTTCCTTGTCACTTTCATTCTCTTGATTTTGGTTAGTTTAATTGGAAATATACCCTATTAAATAGCTTGAGATCAAAATTTTAATTTTGTTTAGGATGCTCTTTGGACATTGAGGTACCAAAAATTTTTTTTTTCTTTAAACATTATTACAGTTTTTCTTCGTGACTTTGGTTGAAATTGTTGAAACGCAGCTTAAACTAGGGTAGAGGTTATTGATTTCTTAGTCTTAATATGGTTACCACTTTTACAGTGTTGGATGTCACTCCCAGAAAGTGCCTAAAATTTAATTTTCAGTTATGCTTCCACATTTTACATTTCCCTTCAAGAGACTCTGTATCCTTATAGAGAATTAAACATCAGGTTTCTAAAATCCAATTTTAGCTATCTTAATTTTTCTTCTGCCTAACTTTCTTTTTCATTAAAATGCCTGAAAACTGTGACTTTCCAAAGAAAAAGGATTGTAAAAATCAGATGTCTAACTTGATCCTTACCACCTAACTGTGTTGAATGGAATACATTCGTTCTCTGTTTTCAGAACAGTTTCTGGTCATCAAACCTGATGTTTTTAAAGGAAAGTTTTCATTGCGACAGTAAGGCTAGCAGCCTATGAGGTCATGTACACACAAACAGTATCTATTCCATTTAAAGCAATATCCACTCCAGCTTCTGATTAAAAGTAACCAGGAAGACGAACTTGCCAGGGAAAGTTGAAGAGGAAAAATTACAAAGAAATCACAAAAATTAACTGGACATTTTCTTCTAACAGGCCATTAGACAGCTTATCAAAATTACAGTGACATATACTCAGACTCGGTAGAAAATTACAAGAAGACTTGGAATGCCAGCAACTGTTTTTACAAATTCCCCAGCAAGTTCTCTCTCCAATGCTCAAATAATGCTCAAATGCTCAAGTTTTTCTTTCAAACAAATGTTGACTTTTTTTTTTTAGAGATTTTAAGTTATCTCTATTCCCAACATGGAGCTCAAACTCACAACCGTAAGATCAAGTGTCGCATGCTCCACCGGCTGAGCCAGGCAGGTGCCCCTAAATCTTTAAATAAGACTCCCATTTTCCAGTTCAAGGAGCTGTGATTTTGCAAAGTAGCCCTTCAATTTAAGACATTTGAGGACAGGGGTGCCTGCGTGGTTCAGTCAGTTGAGTGTCTTACTCTTGATGTTGACTCAGGTCATATTCTCACAGTTCGTGGGTTTGAGCCCTGCATTGGGCTCCATGTGGAGCCTGCTTGGATTCTCCCTGTCTCCTTTTCTCTGCTCCTCTCTGCTCTCTCATGATAAGTTAAATAAAGTCTAAAAAAAAAATTGGGGGACATTACAGCGTTTATTATAGAAAATGATTTTAATCATCTATCTTGAAATATGCCTCTTATTAGAAGGCTCTAAAGCCTTCTTTTGGATAGAATTTTACAAATTACACATGTGGGCCAGTAATTGGTAGGCCCCTCTTCCTGAGTACTAATTTTTGAACATACTGATCGATGATTTAAATATTTGGTTGTTTTTCTTTTAAGGCCAAGACACAAAAGTCAGTGCATTTTGGAAGGTGTTTTTGTTCCCATCTGTTTTTTGTTTGCTATACTTTGATTATCTGCTTTTCTAAAACTTCAGATATAAACTATATCTTTAAATTATTGAATATTCATCCATCCCAGTATGTGAACATTCTGTGAATAAATTTCTATAGACCTTTATACAGACTGAGCTTTGTAGCTTGAGATGTTTTTAAGAAGATACTATTTGGATGATAAAACATGTCTATTCCCTTTCAGATGGGTTTTTTTTTTTAATTTCTTGTCTCAAATACACAATTATTTGGGGGTGGAAAAATACTGGCATTTGTGCTGAACATTTTATTTTACCATATATAGGTTTGTAGAATTTTTGCCAACAACCGGCTTTCTTAGAGCCTGTGCACCCACCGCTTCCCAGCTAGACATCCACTTTTACTTTTATTTGTTTGTTTAATATTTTTTACGCTGGGGGAAGAGACAGCTCCCAGCCATAAAAGCTGGATTCTTTAATACGGGGGTTTTGGGGGGGAAGACATTTCACGAAACTTAAGTCCATGTAAAAGTGTAAAGAATATTCCACAAGGATGTCTCTTTGTGCTCTTAACTCATTTTTAAATTTTGCAGCAAAGCATTTACTGGAAATAATTAAACCAGTGAGAAAAAGTTGATGCAAATCATTAAACCATTCCTTATGTTTTTAAATTTTTATTTTTTAATGTTTTATTTATTTCTGAGAGAGATTGAGAGAGAGACAGACAGACAGTGCATGAGTGGAGGAGGGGCAGAGAGAGACAGAGACAGAATCTGAAGCAGGCTCCAGGCTCTGAGCTGTCAGCACAGAGCCTGACGGGGGGCTCAAACTCACAAACTGTGAGTGAGATCATGAGCTGAGCCGAAGTCAGGTGTTTGCTGACTGAGCCACTCAGGCACCCCATATCTTTTGAATTTGGAACTGTATCCTGGCTTTTGATTTCAGTGTCCTTCGTTACTGCTCTGATGTGAATTAAGTTCTTACTACGACTGCAGTGCATACCGACCTTCCCTAAGAAACTGTTTCCTGGAAGGTGAGGCCGGGAGCCATCAGCCAGCCCCAGGCAGCAGGTTTGGTGTCTGCATTTCTGTTTCATGCATTCCCTTAGGCTGGTTGTGACTAAAATCAGCTTAACTTTTGTATTAGATTATTTCACCAACTGCTACAGTCCAAATGATCAAATCTTTGTACAATAGAAAATTATTTAAATTTTATTTTTCTACTGACATTTCTAATTCTGGTATAAATGTTTATCAATAAAGACTTAATTTCAATTCTGTGAGCTGGGACTATCATTTCTTTTTTCAGTGGCCAGTGAATTTAATCTTGCAATAACGTCTGACTTAAATTTGGGGAGTTTAAATAACCTACTACTTAACATATGTTTAACTGTATTTTATGTTCAACTTCTTACTAATTTATGGTAAAATTCTTGTTCAAAGGTGTGATTAAACTACTTACATGTGGTCTTGAGTCCTATTAACTGCACTTTGGGGGCTGTATCTTATCAGCTGGAAGCTTTTTGTATGAAACCACACTGGGATGGCTGAAAGCTGATACAGCGTATGAAAAAAATATCTATTTCAACAGTAAGTTCACGTGAAGAGAGGCTCTCAACATTGGTTAGTACTCTCACTGACATCGTAAGTCTTTTTCTATCCCGCATTTTCAGCAAATTCCATTGTCCTATTTGGGTAGCTTACATCATGGTCACGGATGAGCACTGCAGTTCCTGGCATTGTGGACAATGTCTGGCAATAGACTGCCCATCCATGCTCTCTTGTTTCTTTTTTATTGAAGCATAATATATGGTAAAGCGCACAAATCTCAGATGTATAGCTTGATGAACGTTTATATACATTTATGTGAATACCACACGGGTCGAGGTACAGAACAATTTTTAGCACCCCAGGAGAACTCTACGTGCAGAGTCGGGCCAGAAGCCCCCAAGAGTATATGTATCCAGGACCCAACACAGGAGGAACTTTTCTTCAGTTTTCAAAAGGTGATAGCCCAAGGCTGGACAATGGAGACTGTGGAAGAGGAGGAGCTAAAGTTGCTGAGTATGGGGACACCTGGTTGAGCATCGACTTTGGCTCAGGTCACGATCTCATGGCTCATGGGTTCGAGCCCCACATGGGGCTCTGTGCTGACAGCTTGGAGCCTGGAGCCTGCTTTGTATTCTGTGTCTCTGTCTCTCTCTGCCCCTCCCCTGCTCACGCTCTGTCTCTCTCTCAACAATAAACATTAAGGAAAATTAAAAAATAAAGGTGCTCAGTATGGTAGAGAGGACCCCACAAACCCTTGCTACGACAACACAGTAATAATAAACGAGGAATCTTTTAGAGAATTTGTCCTCTGGCCAACTGGAGAGTGCTGTCTAAAGGGGCCAACCATTACTTAGATCTAGCCTATTTCTGCTTCATAGGATTTTGAGCCCAGTATGTCCAGATATGCCAGTTTTTGAGGGGAAGTTGGAAATCTAGATTGACATCTCAATTTTTTTTTTAAATGTTTTATTTATTTCTAGGAGAGAGAGAGAGAGAGACAGCGTGAGCAGGGGAGGGTCAGAGAGAGAGGGAGTCACAGACTCTGAAACAGGCTCCAGGCTCTGAGCTGGCAGTCAGCACAGAGCCCGACGCGGGGCTCGAACCCACGAATCGCGAGATCATGACCTAAGCGAAAGTCGGACGCTTAACCGACTAAGCCACCCAGGCACCCCAACATCTCAATTTTTAAGCGCTTGCAAATGAACTTGAATTCCCATAAAACGCTTTTCAGATCAAACAATGCATGCCTTTGAGATGGATTTGGCCTCTGTGAAACTATTTGAAACAATGGAAAATAGCTCCTAGCCTGGTTATCCTTAAAGTGGTTGGAAACTTTGTGAATCTGAACAAATGCATGGAGTGCCAGTGAGCTGTGAGGAGACTGGGAGAAAGGAGATGATGCAGGAGGAGAGGCTGTCGGAGAACCCCAACACAACCTCTTCCCCAGGAGCAAACGGCTGCATCCCAGTTTGTCACTGCAGGGTCCATTTACACTGTCCAAGGAAACAGGCTGGGGACGGTAAACCCCCAAATACTGGGTCCTAATTTCACATCTGCTTTTCTATTATCCTCCCATAAGGAAGATCTACTGAAAACATAGACCTAGGGGTGCCTGGGTGGCTTAGTCGATTAAGTGTCCGACTTTCGCTTAGGTCATGATCTCGCGGTTCGTGGGTTCGAGCCCCACGTTGGGCTCTGTGCTGACTGCCAGCTCAGAGCCTGGAGCCTGTTTCAGAGTCTGTGACTCCCTCTCTCACTGACCCTCCCCTGCTCACGCTGTCTCTCTCTCTCTCCTAGAAATAAATAAAACATTAAAAAAATTTTAAAAAAAAGAAAAGAAAACATAGACCTAAATGTAAGAACTTAAACTATAAAGCTCAGAAGAAAATGAGAGTAAGTTTTGTGATCTTGAGTTAGGCAAAGCCTTCTTCGATACAACCCCCAAATGCACAGGGACAAGAGAAGAATAAAGTGCACTTCATCAAATTTTTAAAAAATGCTATGCTTCAAAGGATGCCATCAAGGGTGTGGAAAGGCACCCCACAGAATAGAAGGAATTATTCAAGTCCTGTAGTATATAGGAGACTGCTATTTAGAATATATAAAGAACTCTTAAAACTCAGCAATAAAAAGACAAATGATGGGGCACCTGGGTGGCTGGGTCAATTAAGTGTCCGACTTAGGCTTAAGTCATGGTCTCATGGTTCATGGGTTCGAGCCCAGGGTCAGGCTCTGTGCGGACAGCTCAGAGCCTGGAGCCTGCTTCGGATTCTGTGTCTCCCTCCCTCTCTCCCTCCCCTCTCCTGCTCGTGCTCTGTCTCTCTCTCTAGCTCTTTCTCACGAATAAATAAATGTTAAAAAATTTTTATTATTTTTTAATATTTATTTTTGAGAGAGAGAGAGCAGAGGAGGGCAGAGAGGGAGACACAGAATACGCGGGGCTTGAACTCACGAACCATGAGATGATGACCTGAGCCAAAGTCAGACACTCAACCCACCAAGCCACCCAGGTGCCCCTAAAAATTTTTTTAAAAAGAGAAATGACCTGGTTTTAAAATGGGCAAAAGATCTGTATACACACACAAAAAAGAGCAAAAGATCTGAACAGACATTCTCCAAAGAACATATACCATGGCCAATAAAGACATGAAAAGATGTTTAATACCAGTCATCAGGGAGGTACAAATCAAAACTACAATGCAATGTCACTTCACACCCACGAGGATGGCTTTAATCAAAAAGACAAGGGTTTTGGTAAGGTGTGCAGAAACTGGAACTTTCAGACATTGTTGCTGAGGTTATAAAATGGCACAGCTGCTTTGGGAAGCCATCTGGCAGTTCCCCGAAAGGTAAAGCACAGGATTACTATTTGATCAAGCAATTCCACAGGCATATACCAAAGAGAAATTACCTCTGAACATGTGTTAAGTGAAAGGAGACAGTTACAAAAGACCATACATTGTATAATACCATTTACATGAAAAGTCCAGAATAGGCAAATCTATAGAGACAGAGAGATTAGCCTGAGGCTGGGGACTGGGGAGAAATGGGTAAGGAGCTCATTTTTTTATATGATGGCTGCACAAGTCTGAATTTACCAGAACTATTGAATGTGTACTTTAAAGTTTATTTATTTAAGCAATCTCTAGACACAACTTCAGCAAGATCAAGAGCCACACGCTCTACTGACTGAGCCAGCCATGCATCCCTGAACTGCGACCTTTAAATGGGTACATTTTATGACTGTGAATTATGTTCCAATTAGGCTGTTTTTTTTTTAATGTTTTATTTTATTTTTGAGAGAGAGAGAGAGAGATACAGAATCTGAAGTAGGCTCCAGGCTCTGAGCTGTCAGCACAGAGCCCAGTGAGGGGCTCAAACTTGTGAACCATGAGATCATGACCTGAGCTAAAGTCAGAAACTAAGTGACTGGGCCACCCAGGTGTCCCCAATTAGGCTGTTTTTTAACGTTTGCTGCTATAATGCCACCACAATGCCCCTTTATAAAATTTATTTTTATTTATTTATTTAATTTTCAAGTTAGTTAACATATAGTGTAGTCTTGGCTTCAGGAGTAGAACCCAGTGATTCATGTCTTATATGACACCCAGCGCTCATTTCGAATAGGGCCCTCCTTAATGCCTGTCACCCATTTACCATAATGTCCTTTTAACCACAGGTGTGTTTATCTATTCCTTAATTTAGATTAACTCTAGGACTGAGTGACTCAAACATTCAGAGTATCTAGTCCAGAGTATCAACGAGGAGCAATTTTCAGCTGAGAAAAATCCTAAACCTGAACAAAACAATGTTAATTGTTTCTGTCTCCAGTGTATTTGTCTCTGATTGCTCCCTCCATTAATTGGATTATAATTAAGAAATATATTAGGGGTGCCTGGGTGGCTCAGTCGGTTAAGCGTCCAACTTCGGTTCAGGTCACGATCTCACGGTTTGTAGGTTCGAGCCCCGTGTGGGGCTCTGTGCTGACAGCTACCTCGGAGCCTGGAGCCTGTTTCGGATTGTGTCTCCCTCTCTCTCTGACCCTCCCCTGCTCCTGCCGTCTCTCTCTCTCTCTCTCTCTCTCTCTCAGAAATAAATAAAACATTTAAAAAAATTTTAATACGTTAATATATGTGGACTCTTGGAAGTCAGTTACCATGTATAACGTTATTGATTATGATGGGACAGCCTGGGACAGCAGCAAACAAGCTACTATCAATAGCTGTTGATATAATATATAATTAATAATATGAATATATTATTAATATAAAGTTAAGAAATAATTTTAATATGATAAAATGATAAAGATTATATGTGGCTGTACTTCCACATAGATCAACTCGAAGGATTCATGTGGATATTGTCTGAATTCTAGGATTCAGTTGATTCTCCTTCACAGTAGTTATGTTTATAAAGTCACCGCGCACATTCAATTAGGAAACACTGAACCACTGTAGGGGAAACACTTGGTTGGGTTCCTGTGAGTCTCTGGTCACAACATTTTGGTCAACTGATCAATATATAATCTTGTTTCATGTGTGTTTCTGTTCAAGAACACCTTAATATATCTTATAATAATTATGTGCAGTATCCTTTACAATAAAACAATGTTTCAATTATAGCATTTTTGTGTAATGTCCTCTATGATACTGAGATTGTATTACTTAACTCTTCCTCAGTCATAGACACACATGCAGTACACATATGTACTGCATGTACATGTAGTAAACACACAGTATAACATACAATATTCACATAAACACGGTACTGTGAACACATACTGTATACTGCACAGTAATGCAAACTAAAATCTTACTGTTGATGGAACTGCAGGATGTGTGATGGTGCGGCACACACTGGGGTTAAACCCCTTGACCTTGGCTTGCCCCATGAAAACCAAGGGCGAGGTAGGTGGAATTTATTCTGCAGAAGAGGAAGAGGGAACCATGTCAACATTTGGCAGTTCAACCTCAGGAGTTTGCCTCTCGTGACTTGTTGGCGGAGTTGGCAATTTTCCCTCCCAAACTGGCTCAAAAACTTGGGTCAGCCTTGTCTGCTTGGCTTTTTGCCTCATTATCTTTAAGCATCTCTGCCTAAGGAGCAAATGCGGTGGAAGTGAGGCGCTTAAATTTGAGGCTGCGATCAAGCATAGGGTCACACTCTACCATGTCACTGAAAATTCTTTCCAAGGCAGAATTCCATTCTGGTATCTTTGTCGCTGTAAGAGGGTCAATTCTTGAAGTCTTGGGCTGACTCTCATTGCCACCCTCGTCATCGCCGACCCCAATGCCTTGTTTTGCCATCTCGTCCAGGTCTTCGTTGGTAGGTTTTACTGCCTTCTCTGCTAAAACTGCCTCCACATCTTCCTCCTTCATGTCGTCAAAGCCTTCTCCTCTTATTTGCCATGCAATATGCATTATGTTTTTGACACTGTTCCTTATACTTTCTGTCACACCTTCAAAGCCTCCGAAATTTCGCACGCAGTCTGGCCAAACATTTTTCCAACAGCTATTGATAGTAGCTTGTTTGATGCTGTCCCAGGCTGTTCCAACATAATCAGTGTTTCGCATGGTAACCGACTTCCAATAGTCCATCATCGTAGTTTCCTTGTTAGACTTGAGAGCCTGGAAACCCTTGCTATAAAGTTCCCTGGTGTAGTGTGCCTTGAAAGCTTTATTATACCCTGATCCGGTGGATGGATGAGAGACGTAGTGTTTGGGGGCATGAAAAGAACTTCTATGCTGGGGTGGGCATTTTGGAGTTCTTCGCAGCAGTGGACTGGGGCATTGTCCAAAATTAATAAAACCTTGAAGGCAAGGTTTCTGCCCTGGAGATAGCACTCAACTTCCGGTACAAAGCAGTTGTGGAACCAATCTGACGTCATCCACGCTTTTTTGTCCCATCTCCAGTGGACAGGCATATGGTTCACACTTTTCCCTGTAAGTGCTTGTGGATTCTGGGCTCTCTATACCATTAGGCGTTTGCACTTGAAGTCGCCCTTGGCATTAGTGCACAATAGCAAGGCTGCATAGTCTTGGAATGATTTAAAGCCAGGGGTTTTGCAGGCCGTTTGTGTTATACAGGTTCTTTTGCCAACGTCCTTGTAAAACAAGCCCGTCTCACCAGCGTTGAAAACCTGCTCTTCCACATATCCTTTGTCCTGTGTAACACTCAGAAAATATTTTTTAAATTCTTCTGCAGCCTCCCGATCGGCAGAACTTGCCTCACCTGCAAGTTTAACATTGTTCACACCATGTCGCCTTTTGAAACGGGCAAGCCAGCCAGCGCTAGCGGAAAAAGGTTTAACGTTTTTCTGGCCCTGGGTTACATGACCTTAAATTTCTTTGGCTTTCAGCCTCACGACAATGCTGTCCACCACACCTTTTTTTTTTTTTATCGGTTGTCATCTCATGAATCCACAAATTTAGCCGCTTTTCCATCTTTTCCATAGCTTCCTCACGCACTATGGACGTTACTTTAGCACTTTCCGGAGCAGCCTCACGTACAGATCGGCGAATTTCCTTTTCCTTTTTCTTTTTTAATTTTTAATGTTTTATTTATTTCTAGGAGAGAAAGAGAGAGACAGCGTGAGCAGGGGAGGGTCAGAGAGAGAGGGAGTCACAGACTCTGAAACAGGCTCCAGGCTCTGAGCTGGCAGTCAGCACAGAGAGCCCGACGCGGGGCTCGAACCCACGAACCGCGAGATCATGACCCAAGCGAAAGTCGGACTCTTAACTGACTAAGCCACCCAGGCGCCCCTCCTTTTCCTTTTTCTTGATGTACCGGATTGTTGATTCATTAACATTGAACTCACGGCCAACAGCACTACAACTCATGCCTGAACAAAGCTTATCTAACACACGTATTTTCTACATAAGGCACATCACAGCCTTCTTGCGCTTAGGAGCACTGGGCAACACTTCACCACTACGCTTGGGGGTCATTTTAAACAGCAAAATGACCAACAAAAAGCACAGAAACGTAAAAAACGTGGCACCAAACAGACTGTGAATAAGACAATTATTTACAGCATGAGAGATGAAGCAAGAAAGCCCTTGTTCAACCTTAACTAGCACATCGCACCGCTGGTTGACTCGAAGCTTTTCATCCCCTGCGCATGTCCGCGAATAACCCCAGAAAGCACCGCGAATATTGATTTTTGGGGTTACAGTAAGTTTAAGCAAGTAAGCGAATTCGACAATACTAACGTGTGAATAACGAACGTCAACTGCATTCCCATAGACATATAATTTTGTTTAAGCACGTTTATTAAAGCAAAGTGACTAGACAGCGCTGAAGACTACAAGTTCCAGCATGCACCGCTTCGACGCGGAGCCGGGGCTCCTTCAACCACAACAGAAGCGCCAGGCTCCAAGCATTGGCCCTGAAGTGTCGCGTTTGGAGTACGTGCACTTTCTGCGCACGCGCACGCGTTGTGGGGGCCGCCCCAGCCGCCGGCGCCCCCACCGCAGCTCTATGTTCTCTCTCTAGAGCTTTGCCGTTGGGGGCAGCTGCTGAGGTCCTGTGGCTCCGCCCGCTCGGCGCAGCAGCGACATGGAGGAATTCGACTCAGAAGACTTCTCCACCTCGGAGGAGGACGAGGACTACGTGCCGTCGGGTGAGCGTTTGGGCCACAGGCGAGAGGAGGCTTGCCCCGCCCCGCGCTTCACGTGAGGCGCGTTTGGTCCGGCGTGCGTGGCCCGGTGCTCCCGGTATCCGGGGTGCCGCCGTTCTCGAGCGTCCCCGCCGCGCGAGCGCCGCACCCTCTCCCGCGCGCTCCCTCCGCCGGGTCGTCCCGGGCCGAGACGTGTGCACGCAGGCGTCTCGCGCTGCCGCCGCCCGAGGCCTGGCTTGGGCCGCCGCCCCCTCACGGAGCGCGGGAACCCGCACGTGAACACCACCCCGCTCTGGGGACGCTGGCGGCGTCGGGCGGTACCCGGACCGCGCTAGTGCTGAACTCTTCTGAAAGGCAGTGTGAGCGTCGGACGTTGTTGTCAGACCCTCCGTCCCGAGGGACTTGCCAGCCGGCACCACGTCCAAGATAAATCTGATCACTTTCTGCTCTCTCGTGGGATCTGGTTATTAGAAAGTTCACGTGATGATGCGTTTTGTCCTTTGGCGACGTATACCTATTCCTCTAACTCCAGACCCCCCCTCTTTCTGGTATAGGCTTCTCAAACTTCAAGGGGTCATTGGAACCTACCCCGTCCGTGTCCTGCGCCGTCCCCCAGACTGCCCCGTCTCATTGAAAGTATCTACCTACCCATACCGTCGCTCAGATAAAACAAAACCAGACGAAACCCGCAGGACTCAGCCATCCTTACTTTCTCTCTTTGGTTCAAGCAGCCCGTAAGTTCTGTTGTGTCTACTCGGAAAATTGGTTCCTGACCGCTTCCTCGCCCATCTCCCTGCTACCGAGCTGCCGTTCTCCTTCGCTAGGATTAAGCCCTCGCTTCCCCGCGGGTTTGCCTGATTCCATGTCCATTCTCGTCCACCAGCCTTGACTGGTCTTGTGGTAATGGCCAGAGTGGTTATCTGAAAGCTAGTTTTCGTTTTAATCAAAGGTGTGCATACATATTCTTAAAAGTGGTCAAATGTTTCTAAAAGGCCTGTCTTGAAAACTAATGGTTCCCATCACCCTTCTTCCCTGTTCCTTCCCCCGCAGAAGAAACTGCTTTCCCCTTTTCAATTTGATATTTCCATTGTTGATTTAACCCACGCTCATAGGTCCTATTTTCATACTTTCTTACTTCATCCCCCTCGTTCCTAACCCTTCCGCCATCAGGCCCTTCCCACCTCCCCAGCCTGCCATCCTTACCATGTCCAATTTGGGTTAGATCAGTATTCCATGTTTACATTTTTGTAATGCTTGGACACCACCTTCAGGTCTGAAACAGGTGATTGTGTGTGTGTGTGTACGTACACATGCATACATACTGTGATTGCTTTTCCTATACTACTTGTTTTCTGTGGAGTTAATAATTGCCATTTTGCTGTTGCTTAGTTGTCTATGTCCTTACTACTCACTTGACCCTAAACTTTGAGAACTGTATACAATCATCTCACAAGGCAGATTCATTAAATACTCTTTTACTTTTAGCTTGAAGTCCCGTCTTTGCCTTCTGACCTCTGCCTTGCCTTGGTTTTACCACTTTGAAACCTAGGATCTTTTGTCACCATCACCACTCTGGGTGTTCCATTTATCTCCCTTTTCCGCTGGATTCCGTTTCTTGGGTCCTGTGACTTGGGTTCTGGACTGGCCCTCTAACTTTTAACCTCCTATTTTCTAACCCTTGACTTTTTTCCACTTTATGGGAAATTCTGAATATCTTCAACTCTATTTTTTCCCCTCCTTTCATATTTTTAAATTTGAATAACTTTTTTGTTCTTTGAATGGTCCTTTTTTATAGCATCATGTTCTCATTTCATAGTGCTGAATCTTAGTGCTCTATTGATATTAAAACTAATTTAAATTTTTTAGCATTTAACTTACATACAGTAAAATTTACTCTTTTCAATGTACTGTTCTATCAGTTTTGATAAATGCTTAGAGTTGTGTGACCATCACCAGAATTAACAGTTCTATGGCCACCCTCCCCCTCTCCCTCCCCCCTCCAAAGAAAACAGGTTATGAGGGGCACCTGTGTGGCTGTCTCAGTTGGTTAAGCCTCCGACTCTTGATTTCTGCTCTGGTCATGTTCTCACGATTCACGGGATCGAGCCCCGTGCCGGGCTCTGCACTGATAGCATGGAGTCTGCTTGGGATTCTTTGTTTCTCTCTCTTTCTCCTTGCCCCTTCCCCCACTCACGCACACTTGCTCTCTCACTCTCTCAAAAGAAACAAAAAAGATCATGATGTCTGAATAGAAGGCATTTTATTTTTTATTTTCCAATAGGTATGCTTTTGTTTCTTTTGCTTGCTTTACTGCTCTTGATAAGACTTTAAGTATGATGTGGAGGAGGAGTGGTGAGAGTGGTTGTCCATGCCTTGTTCCCATTTTAAGAGGAAATTATCAGTGTTTCACTATTTAGTATGTTAGCTATACATTACAGGTGTGTGTGTGTGTGTGTGTGTGTTTTAAGCACTTTACAGGGACTAACTCATTACTAGCTCAGTCACATAACACTATTGCGTGTGTGCTATTCTCTGCATTTTACAAAACAATTGAAGCACAGAGAGTTTAAGCAAATTGCCCGATGTTGTTCAGCTACAGAGTAGCTGAGGTGGAATTTGAACGCTGGCAGTCTGCATATATGGCCCCTTACAGATGCATTTTATCAAGTTAAAGAAGTTCCCTCTACTCCTAATTTGCTGAGAAGTGAATTTTGTCAGATACTTTTCTTATATTGATAAGGTTATGTGTGATTTTTCTCTTTGCTAACAGGGTGAGTTAGTGATTGATTTTTGAATTTTGAACAGCCTTTTATTTCTGGGATAAAACTCACTTGGTCATGTTGTATAATTCTTTTTTATACATTGTTGAATTTTATTTGCTCATATTGATAATTTTTGCATCTGTTTATGAGGGATATTGGTCTGTAGTTTTCATGTAATTTCCTTGTCTTGTTTTAGTATCAGGTATTGCTAGCCTCAGAATGTGAGGAAACATTTCTCTGAGGTGATTTTTATTCACCCTGTATACCTTACTTTTGGCTTTACTAGGTATTTTCTCAGATTTTCAGTGATTGATAGTTGTTTGGCTCAGATTTAAGCAAGGGGGACTAAAAAGGTGATGAGGAGCTCTGTCTTTGGACAAGATGTATTCATTTTGTTCTCTGTTAGCTACAAGGATGTTATTTGCTTCTTACTCTTTTTTTTTTCTTTTTTTGGTCATAGTAACTGGGATTTGATTTTTTTTTTTGTGCGTGTGTATAATTTAAAATTTGCTTATCTCTTATCAATGAGATTGAGCATCTTTTTACATATGTAAGATCCAGAGCCATATTTTTCTCCTTATCTGAAGTGTCTGCAACACTTATCTATTTTTATGATGAAAAACAACTATATTACTGTAAAAGCAGGGCATGAGCTTTGTAAAAAACTTAGAAAATTCAGGCAGTTAAGCATAAAAAAAATAGAATCATTATAGTCCCACCACCCAGAGATTATCAGTATTAATCCGTTAATGAATCCTTTAGTGAACACTGGTCATTTTCTACACCCAGGTGTAGATATTTGTATTTTATTTTATTTTATTTATTTATTTATTTTTGTTTTATTTCTAGCAGAGAGAGAGAGAGACAGCGTGAGCAGAGGAAGGTCAGAGAGAGAGGGAGTCACAGACCGAAACAGGCTCCTGGCTCTGGGCTGGCAGTCAGCACAGAGCCCGACGCGAGGCCTGAACCCACAAACCGCGAGATCATGACCTAAGCGAAAGTCGGACGCTCAACCGACTAAGCCACCCAGGCGCCCCTAGATATTTGTATTTTAAACCCAACCTGAAATCATACTTTTTCATGTTACTTTGTAACCATCTCTTTTCAGTGAACAGTCTCTCCCTGTCCATTTCAGTAAACATTTGACACGTCTTCTTCACGTACAGACCTTTATTCAGATTTGCCCACTTGACCCAGAGTAGACTACAGCTTGTTTATCCAAATCAGGTAGGTTCAGGGCTACTCACATCACCTAGTGGTCCCATCCTGTAATTCTGTTTAATCTGGCACGCTCTGTGATGACATTGATTTGCTTAAGAGATCAAGCAGTGCGTGCTGCAGAATGCTGGTCCTGCACAATGTCTTCTGGATTTGCCTGGTTGCTCCCTCCTGGTCTTTTGGGTTGTTCCTTTGTCCTTTGAATTTTATGGAATTCTGAAATGCTGAAATGTCTGGAAGTTAGATCTAAATGCTTGATGGGTTCAAATGAAATATTTTTGGCTAGAAAACATCATAGATGACTGTGTGTTTCAAAATGCATAACATCAGAAAACACACAATCCAGGTTGGTTACCTAACTTGCAACTCCCGGCTCCAGATGATGAGAATCTGACCCCTCTATTGTGTAATTGTTTCTTTCCTTGGAACTGAAGAATTCTCTGTGGTAATACGCTTAACTGTTAAAACTGTGTGTTTTGAGAACGTTACTTGATGATCTTTGCCTAAATTGCTATCATTACAGTCCGAGAAGTGATGTTTTTCTAATTCTGTGGTTTTTCTACATTTTTTAGTTAACGTTCCTCTGTGAAGTACTACTTTCATCAGCTGGAACAGAATAAATGTTTGATTCATTTTCCTTAATTATTAACTATCAAAATAGGGAATAATTTTAATAGTAGCTTTAAGTGGTACAAATTACTTTTTGTCTTCTAAAAATATTACAAAGGGTTTACAGATTTTTACTGATTGAGTATGTTTTAGTCTACTCACAATTTTTCCTTTTAATGCTCAAGTCATCACTTTTGGCCACTAGAAGTTCTTTCAAGCTGGATCTTATATCCTCTAAATGTAACCCATTATTCTTAAATAACTACCTTGCTTTCTGACACAGCAAGATGTCCCAGTTTCACCTTGTGCTTTCCTTCCCTCAGACCTGAAATTGGCTGGTTTTTTTTTTTCCAGGAGCCCTTTTCATGATGAATCCTATCAAGGGATATAATCTGGACTCTAAAAAGATGTCCA